GCGCACTGGAAGCAGCGGGGGAAGTGTCGTGCGGTCCGAGAAGGCGATGAGAATACCAAGTTCTTCCACGCCAGTGCCTCCCAGCGCCGTCGCAGGAACTGGATCCGCGCGCTTGATGTTGATGGGCTGGAGGTGGTCGATCACCTTGGCAAGGCGGCTGCGCTGCGGGGCTTCTTTGCCAACCTTCTCGGGCGTTGCTGCCTCCCCGACTGGCGCTTCGACCTTGAGGCGCTGTACCAGGGTGTCCCAGGCGTCGACGGGGGCGCCCTTGTGAGCCCCTTCACTCTGGCCGAGATCAAGGAGGCGGCGGGGCTCCTCGACCGCTCGAGCGCCCCCGGCCCAGATGGCCTGGGGCCTGCCTTCTACCAAGCTGCGTGGGAGGCGGTGTCGGTCGATCTGCTGCAGCTCTTCGACGCCTTCTTTGACGGCTCGGTGGACCTGGAGCCGATCAACCGGGCGTACATTGCCCTCCTGCCGAAAGGGAGTGGGGCGACCCCAACTCCAAGTTCATTCCGCCCCGTCTCCCTGCAGAACTGCGATGTCAAGATCCTCTGTCAGGCGCTCACCACACGGTTGCAGCAGCAGATTGGGGGGGTGATCGACGTCGACCAGTCCGGATTCGTCTCCGGACGAAGCATCTCCGAGAACTTCGTCTATGCGACCGAAGTGGTGCAATGCTGCCGCGCGAGGAAAGCCCCCGCCCTCGTCCTCAAGCTGGACTTCGCTAAAGCCTTCGACTCTATTAATTGGGCGTGCCTTCGTCGAGTCATGGAGGTGCGCGGCTTCCCTGAGAAATGGTGCGCGTGGGTGGACGCCATCCTCCGTTCATCACGCTCCGCGGTGCTGCTCAACGGAGTGTCGGGGGCGTGGTTCCCCGTCAGGTGTGGGCTTTGCCAAGGAGACCCGATGTCGCCCTACCTCTTCCTCTTGGTGGCGGATGTCCTGCAACGGATGGTGCGGCGCGACCCCCTGCTCCAACACCCGGTGGTGGAGGGGGGAGCACCGATCGTGCTTCAATACGCCGATGACACACTTATCATCATCCGCGCATTGGTGGAGGCGGCGGCGCGGCTACGACACATCCTGGACGACTTCGCCGCGGCCACCGGGCTGGGGATCAACTACGGCAAAAGCACCCTGGTGCTGATTCATGTCGCGGACGAGGTGGTGGCTCGGGCTGCGGGGGCCCTCTCCTGCTCTGTACAGGGGTTCCCGCAACCCTACTTGGGCCTGCCGTTGTCGTGGGACAAGCTGACGGCGGCCGACTTCGCGCCGATGATTGCTAAGGTCGATGCCTACCTGGCCGGGTGGCGGGCGCGCCTACTCTCCCCCGCCGGGCGCCTGGTCCTGATCAACGCGGTGCTGGACTCGCTCCCCACGTACGCCATGGCCGCCGTCGTCCTTCCTCCGGCCGTGGTTAAAGCCATGGATACGCTTCGCCGGGCATTCCTATGGGCGGCGGCCGACCGTGCCACGGGAGCCCAGTGCCTGATTGCATGGAGCCAGGTCTGCAGGGCGAAGTGCGAGGGGGGGCTGGGGGTACGGGACCTTACCACCCAGAACATGTGCCTGCTACTCAAGATGCTGCATCGTGTACACTCGTCGGAGTCGAGGTGGGCGTCGTGGGTTTGGGCGGAGCTGAATGGCCAATCCCTTCTTCACCCCGGTAGCTGTCGTCATGCCGGGGCGCATGGGCGCTCTCTGCGCGGCATGCTGCCGCTCTACCGCGCCATGTTGCGAGTGCGTGTGCAGGATGGGCGGCGAACCTCCTTCTGGCTCGACTGGTGGCTGTCGTGCGGTCCTCTGAGTGTGGCCTTCCCCGCTCTATACTCGCACACCACGAGCGCCGAGGCCACTGTGTTCTACGTCTGGAACGGTGGGCTCGACCGCATCTTGGTCCCAAGACACACCCGGGCGGGTGCTCGGGAGCGAGAAGCCCTCCTTGCCATTCTCCCTGATGCACCTGTGGCGCCGGGCGTAGACGAGAGGATGCTGCCGCTTTGTGGGCGCCCCCGGTCGGGAGGGCTTGTCGAGCGCCGCGCTTACGCCCTCCTGCGCTATGGCGGGCGGCTCTCGCCTCATGCTGCGTTCGTCTGGGGGACGCGCGCGCCGTCGCGGGTGAAGTTCTTCTGCTGCCTGCTGGTCCATCGTCGAGTCAACACTCAGGATGCCCTTCTTCGGAAGACCATTGTTGATCGCGCGGGGGCCGGCTGCCCCGTCTGCTTGGCGGAGCTGGAAACCGCGGACCATCTGATGTTTGTCTGCCCGTTCGCGCGCGAGTTCTGGCGCGCCGTGGGGGGTGTGGTGATCACGGCCGGGGCGTCGGTAGAGCGACTCTTCGCCCTAGACGTAAGAGTTGCCGTAGGAGATGCCTCTCCCGACACCTTCATCCTCCTATGCTGCTGGCACCTATGGAAGCACCGGAACGGGGTGGTCTTCCAGGCTATGGTGCCATCTCTGGATCGGGTCCTAAGCTGCTGTCGAGAGGATGCTGTTCTCTGGCGAGAACGGCTACGTCCACGGGATCGTGCGGATGTTGATGCGTGTGTGCGTGCGTTGACGCGGTGATCTGATCTTAGCTTTGTTAGGTCTCCCCCACCCCACCCCAAGAGTGTGCTGCTGTTTGTAAAAATGAGGACCTCCCCCTAGTGGTGATTTGGCAATAAAATTCAGGTGGAGGGATCGCTATCCCTCCCTCGGTGACAGTTCAAAAAAAAAATAACTTGGGACTTTTAAAAAGTGTTCGTAATTTTGATCGAGAAATAAGAAAAATATTAATGATTTTTTTAACAAGTTCATGTATTAAAAAAGATAATTACATTGAAAAAAAATTTGCCAATTCAAAAAATGTTGATAAATTGGAAAATATCCTAAAAATTCAAAAACAGTTTGTCACTTACAAAATAGTCTACTGATTCATAAAATGTTTGAGGATTCCAAAAATCATTAAGCATTTTGAAAATTGATCGTTAAATCAAAAAAAGTTCGAGAATTAAAAAATTTGTAAAACCAATTTCCAAAAGTAATGTTCGCCTATTCAAGAAAAATGTTTTATAAAATGTTCACAATTTCAAAAATATATTTGCAAATAGTATAAAAGGTTCATGAATTCAATTTTTTCATGATTTTAGTAAATGTTCTAAAATTTGAAAAAAAATATTAATGAATTTGTAAAATGTTCATGATTTAAAAAAACATTCATGGTTTTTTCAACTTGTTCACAATTTCACAAAAATGAGAGTGATAGTGTATCTCAGATGTGTTCACGAGTTTTAGAAAACATTCATGATTTTTTTTCTAAAATCGTTCACGATTTCATTAAAATTAGAGTGATAGTGTATCTCGGTAATGCAGCAAAATATGATCATGGCCATTGGTGATCGAGCTCCTAGGAGGCGCTGCGTACGTGTCGTGCATGGACGATGGCCATGCATCGACAGCCTTTAGCCACATAGCTAGGCGGCTTCATCCTGCCCACGGACTTCTCCTGCAGCAGCGCTGGGAACGGCGGCGTGCTCTGGTGCAGGGACACCGGCTGCCCCGATGGCAACCACCGCCCTGGCGAAGGCAAGTACCGCGCCTGCCCCGCCTACAGCGACTACCAGGTTGTCTTCTGCCCATGATAGAGCTCCCATGATCGGCACGAGCTCTTAGCCATCTGATCGTCCTTGTCACGTACGTATGGTTGTAACCATGGGAGAATAATCTGATGAACATACAGGTTGTGTTGGAGTATCAGCATCAGTGTTCTTGTGTTTGTTTGGCGCTTGGAGCTCACGTTGCTTCTCATCGATCAGTTTCAGTTAATTTCTTTTCCTTTTTGATTGATGACTCACAAGAGATCCAGCGCCTCACGTAGACTAGACTAAAATATCTCAATTACTTACTCAATCCGTGCTCATAAAAAATTAAACCAAGTTACTTGAACCTTTTGAATTCAGACAAAATTCATACGCCTTCTTTTCTAGCACGGATGGAGTACTAGCTACACTGTTCAATGTTGCTGCCATTGACGTTTTTTTCAAGATCTTAATCAAGTCGCCATGGATCGGTCACACGTGACCCCCACAAAAAAAAAAAGACCAGTCACATGTGAATGGCAGGTCTAAAGAACATATATATGAAGAAATCCATGGAAGGAAAGGTAACAAACTTTCTCAAGAAGGCTTTCCAACTTTAGACTGCAGGCCTTTGTACACTCGAGTTGTACACTCTTTGTTGTTGTCTATCAAGAGCAGGAAAGGCAAGCAATGGAAAGAAAACCGAATGGTTCGCTGAAAACTAGCAAAGCTGGTAAAATTGCAAATATATCAAGCAATGCAATTACTTTGTCCCAAAATCATACTGGTCACCAACAACCACAAACGAATGATGGTGGTGCCTCTAAAACCGCATCGATCCGCACGAATAGCTTTACAGACTCTGTTTGTGTTGACGACATCTGTTTAGAACAACGAGCAAACGGAAGGGAACAAAGATAAGTTTTAGCAAAAAGACTAGTAAAAATACAGTACAACTAAAAAGACAAGAGAAAAAATAGTGGAAAGCTTCACATGTTCACCGAAAGAACACCGACCTGGCGACCTCTCCACATGTTCTCCGATTAACATGGAAGGCCTTCCTCGTGAAGTAATGCCGCACCACCTTGCCATGAGACCCAATCAAAATTTGTCATCGATGAGCCACCTCGCTGCGCTACCGGCACTGTTATCAAGTGTTTATTCAGTTTCATTCCCAAATTTGCAAACAATAATTTAGGCTCCTTTTACCAATCATGTTTAGAGAGTGTATTTTTGTTTCTCATGTTGCACACTGCAGTGTTGCATGTTACCGTGTTGCAGTGAAAGACTACGATCTAAGGTCCGTCAGAGGCACATTACGTGCTTCGAATTATATTCTCCTAGATGCTGGCTTCTCTCCTGGAACTGAAAGGCCTCTATATATACGCATGCACTCGGTTGCCTAGAGGGTGCGCTCTACCAAGACAAGACATACTTACAATGGCAACTCCGGCGGCCATCTCCTCGGCTATCCTTCTCCTCCTATTCTCGTTCTCGCTCACCGCCGGCGCCAGGGGTGCCACCTTCACCGTCATGAACTTTTGCCCTTTCGTGGTGTACCCGGCGGCCATCCCGGTCGGCTGGGGCGCGGAGATAGGGACCGGCCTCGGGATCGGCCAGGCGTGGAACCTCGCGGTGCCCGCCGGCGCCTCCTCGGTCAGGATATGGGCCCGCACCAACTGCACATTCGATCCCGCCACCGGCCGCGGTAGCTGCGGAACCAGCGACTGCGACGGCGCGCTGCGCTGTGACGACTATAGGAAGCCGCCCGTGACGCAGGCCGAGTTCACCCTCGGCTCCTCCGGCAGCGCCCCGGACAGCTACAACTACAGTATCTCGCTCGTCGACGGCTTCAACGTCCCTATGGGGATCCTGTGCAGAGCCCGTGGGGACGGCGGCTTCCTCACGTGCTACGACCCCGACTGCTGCGTAGCCAGCCACCGCGCCGGCGACGGCAAGCGCCACACCTGCCCTTTCAACGACCACCGCGGTGACGACAGCAACATCGACTATGAGGTCGCCTTCTGCCCATTCCCTAGTTACCCCGAGACGACGTGCGTCCATGCATGAGCAGGGGCATGGCTTCAAATTAGCTAGCCATTTCATGGCAACATTATCTCAGCTAAATTGAGCGACGAATAAAATTCAGCAATGTTCTTCAGTTCTTGTGTCTGGTTGTGCAGCCAACTCGCCATGAACCTGATGTTTCTTTAGTGATGTGTTCTTTCTTATCATGGAACTATTTTAGTGATGCTCTGGTAGAATAATAATATTGCAGTTGCTACTTCATGGTTGTGAGATTTTCTTAAGTGTCTGTCAATCGACAGCAAAATGATGTTACGATTTGCATTTTGGTTCTTGCAGCCCGGGGTCAAACAGCCAGTTTCCTTTTCTCACCACTGGTTCTTTTCTTCACCGTTCGATAAAAATTCAACGGCTCGTGTGCCCGCCTAAATATTACATTCACTACTTGCTTAATCCACAAGACATTTTATTTTTTGTCGTACTCTATGGTCTACGCTGCCAGGGAGGTTTTTCTAGGGGGGGAGCAAGAAGTCGATAAGCTGGCGTAAATGCTCACCCGCGGTGACCATACCTGCCATCGGCCATTGGCACCATGTGAAGGACAGCTCCAAAGACTGAAGAACTCCATTGAAGGAGAGATAACAATCTTTCTGACGAAGGCTTTCCAGTTTCTGACTGCACCTACCTAGGTTCTAATTCATCATGCATTCCATTTGATCAAGTAATCATAATGATATTGTCTCAGCCAATGTATGTATTAGAAATAAATTGATGGTGAATAGAAACGTTGGATATCTCAACTGGAAGATATTAGTAATCTTCGCATATATACTCTACTGTTAAGTTGAATGAGAGATTTGTCTGCGTGAGACTGACATTTTATTGGCCAATGTCTGAAATTCTATTTTGTTTTTCTTCCCTATTATTTCATGGTACAGTCCAGTAGGGATCCAACGGCTCACAGAGACCAAAAAAGGTCGGTTACTACACTGGTTAGAAGTTGCGCACAATCATAAACACCCTTGTCATCAATATGTCAACAATTCATTACTACACTATACGACCGGCTGTCACCATGCTTCCCCTGAGTCCCTGACTAAATGTCTGCTGAGAAAAAGGAAGGGGAAGTAGAGAGAGAGGGAGAGCGCAGCTTCTTAAGAGAAAAAACGCTGAGAGAAGGGAACAGTAGCCTTGTCTGTATCATCAACAGTGGATAGGCATGCAGGCCTACTAGTGTAGCTGCTCATCAAGTTTCCGCCCATGTTATTGTCAGCTATTGTCAGCATAGCCCTGTAAATCAACTGCATGTGCTGCGTGTGAACTTGTCTGGAGTGGCGTCAATCTCGAGGAACAGAAGTCTAGTGGACGACACAGATAGAAGGTGCCCCGTAGCTCGACCTCTAAAAATTCACACTCCAAATTTAATGAGAATGGCCTTCTTGTGGCTTCTCATTCCAATGGTATGTTCTCAGGTGGACCCCAACCATATATGTTCTCTACTGCAGTATCGTTTCTGACCAGTTCTGACATGGCACTGGACAATTGTCTTCTAGTTGAGAGTGAAGTTCAGTAGGTAAATAAACTCAAGTGTTCGATTGGTTTCTTGGAAATAATGACACACTTAAGGAAGGCACTACAACAATCCTCAAGCGAGACAGAACTTAGGACATGACCGACAAAAACACTACATAGTTGATTTCATATCAGCATATCACTAGAATGTTAATTCTCCTCAGTTACAAACTTACAATTCGAAGGAAATTCATTGTCACCTGAAAAGGAACATGTCACATGGGCCTCATCAGTAGTTAACAGTTGCAATTGGCAAGAATTTTTTTATCATAGCGGTTGCAGCTTGTACAAGTGAGTAATCACAGGAGATGGCATTTGCCGCTATAATATAATATAATTACCTAGCGGCATAGTCGTTCCATACTCCCATTCAGGTAGCTGGAGATGAGATCCTACAAGGAAAATAGTTGAGCGACAAGGCGGTGCTCCTTTCAGTTTCAATCATGGCCATTGCTCGTACTTGGTTGTTGGCCATGTCAACAGCAAGAAGCCATGCCTTAGGGTGCTGGAATTTGACCCTGGCGATGAGGTAAACAACAGCACCTTCATCATCATTCAGGCTGACAACAGGCTGACATGTCCAAAGATTTTGCAAGTTTCTCTCTGCGGCCTCATCACTGTTGTGAGCCTTACGCAGCAGCATTCCACAGTGTACCAATGCAGACCGCATTGTCGTGTCGATTCGGATGGCGGATGCATTGACAGTGAAGTCGATTTCACAATCCTCGGGAGGACTGCCGGTGATGTTGCAGTTGGTACTATATGTGATGAGTGTCCAGTCATCGATTCTGATCTTGGGGCACCGGTTTCAGGGTCTTTACCAGGAAGACGATCACCGAAGTGTTCCAGCTCGACAAGCTTGAGGCAATCCCCCACGACAGCGACGCTTCGGTAAGGCTTTGGACAGCAGTCAAGCGCCTTGCCGCAATGGCTTCCGGGCCTTACCGGCAGCGGCACAAGGCGGATTTTGGCGTCATCGTCGTCGTCATTGCCGTCACGGAGCACGTCGTAGAGCAGTATTCCGTGCCAGAGATCAACCCAGCCAACGGCTCCCCTGCTCCCGATGGTGATGACAGAGTTGGTAACATGCTGAAAGTGGCGGCGGCCAGGGGGGAGCGGCATCGGGAAGGGTATCTGCGGCGGGTCCAGGAGCACCTTCTTGGAGGTCCAACACCAGTCCTCGGATTTGAAGAGGTAGAGCACGAGTTTGAAATACGAGGCTTGGGACAGCGCGGCGATGGTGAAGTGGTCGCCGCCGGCGCGGGGGAGGACGGCGACCTCATCGTCTGTGAACAGGTGAGGGTGAGGGTGAGCGAGGAGCCTGAGCGACGGGCCTCCCCCTGTGGAGCTACCTAGCTGGTAGACGAAGTAGTCGCACATCTTGTGCGTGATGTTGTTGGGTGGGGGGCCGCGGCCGATGGCGACGCGGAGGACGAAGAAGCCATCCACCACGCAAAGGATCTTGGGTTCCTGGAGGAAGTCTTGGGCGGGATCGGGATGCTGCGTCCTCTTGTTGAGGTGCACGGAGAGACGGGAGGGGATCGGCGGGTGAGCAGGCCATAGGGAAACCACCATCTGATTGCCTGTGCGGGTAAACGTTTGGGCCGTGCTGTCGTTGGTGCTTCCATTGGTGGTGTCGATGTAGGCGCCGGAATCGACGGGGACGTAGCAGGCGGCCGCCATGGATGGGAAACCCTGGTACGTGGATTTTTAGAGCATATGCATCCAGGCCCTGCTATCCTAGCTCTCCAATATCGCTTTAAGATCCGTGCGATACAACTAAGTTTCTATATAAAATTTTCTCTTTTTTGCTTCTCCCACATAGAACATATCTTGAAGTTGGAACCTATGCAGGATGGCAAAGCTTTCTAACTAGAATCTAGGATAAATCTTTCAGATTTTTTTGTCCGACGTAAATACTAAAAATATGATTTTTTAATCAAACAAAATGTATTTTGTATATTTATGTTTGACAAAAAAATCTGTACGATTTATCCTAGATTCTACTCAGAAAGCTTTGTCACGCTGCATAGGTTTGAACTTCAAGATATATTCTATGTGGGAGAAACAAAAAAGAGAAATATATTTGCACGAATCTTAAAGCAAAAAATGGATGGCTAGATAGAGAGGGCCTGGGTGCATATGCTCTAATATATATTTTCGGGAAACCCTGCCCTACCACTACCGGAACAGGGCTCTAAGCCGACAGCCAAATGTATGCCGACGGCCACCGTCGGCCTAATCCGAGCTATGCCGACAGCTAGGTCCTGGCCGTCGGCGTACAACGGCCATCGGGCTATCCCCGTCTACGCCGACAGCAGCCGTCGGCATATAACAGCCGTCGGCTTATCCCAGACTACGCCTACAGCTGCCGTCGGCATATATAGGCCGTCGGCATAGATGCGGGCCCGCCGACAACACTCATCACGGCCGGCTAACGACGTCAAATCTATGCCGACGGCCGTGACGGGTGGCCGTCGGCATAGATACGGGTGACACGTCACCGATCCAGAGCGCACCGACCAGGCCTATGCCGACGGCAGCCGTCGGCATAGCTGACACGTCATCGATCCGCGGCGCTGTCCATCTGCCCTGGCCGCAGCTATGCCGACGGCTTTGCCGTCGGCATAGTTTTTTTTTTCTTTTTTTCTTTTTTCCACATAGTATTATTATTATTATTATTATTATTAAGCATACAGTATGTGTTAATAAGCATACATATAGATTGTGTTATATAGTATGTGTTAATAAGCATATAGTATGTGTTAATAAGCATATAGTATGTGTTAATAAGCATACATATAGTTTTTTTTCTTTTTCTTCACTGTTTTCTTTATTATTATTATTTAACTAACTTACATACAGTATGTGTTAATAAGCATACATACATTATTTTTCGGTTCTGTACAGAGCGGTGTGACCCCCCTCACGAACGGTGCCGCCGCCAGCCAGCAACTGGAATGGGGAACAACCGCATCGGGTCTATACGAAGGGGACTTTGCTCCAAGTGTCCGAAGAGGCGGCACGCATCTCCGGGGTGTGGCCCCTCCGCCACCGCCGGCACCTGGAGGGGGGGAACGGACGCGTCGGGTCTACATGGAGTGGATGTATCTGTGGGTTTGGCCCGGATGTTGCTCCCGGGTGTCCTTATGGGCGGACCTGACACAACCGGGTGGAGAGGTCCACTGGTCAAAGCCCGTCCGTGCAAAGTCAAAGGGCTAGATCCTGTGGTCAAACGCTACAGGGTTAGCCGGGACGGGGGCCCTGGGGGGTAGCAATGCCACCGGAGCGTCGTACCGGGCCCTCATACATGCGGGGTGGTGTTGTGGC